ATTTTAGTATACTTTTTAGCCACGGCGGTCTTTGGCTACAAGGCATATCAGATTTTACAATACTTTTAGCCACGGCGGTCTGTGGCTAACAAGCATATCAGATTTCACTCTACTTTTATCCACGGCCGTCTGTGGCTAAAAAGTATACCGGATTTCAGTATACTTTTTAGCCACGGCGGTGTGTGGGTAAAAAGTATACCAGATTTCAGTATACTTTTTAGCCACGGCGGTCTGTGGCTAAAAAGTATAACAGATTTCAGTATACTTTTTAGCCACGGCCGTCTGTGGCTAAAAAGCATATCAGATTTCACTATGGTTTTAGCCACGGCGGTCTGTGGCTAAAAAGCATATCAGGTTTCACTATACTTTTACCCACGGCCGTCTGTGGCTAAAAAGTATACCGGATTTCAGTATACTTTTTAGCCACGGCGGTCTGTTGCTAAAAAGTATACCAGATTTCAGTATACTTTTTTGCCACGGCGGTCTGTTGCTAAAAAGTATATCAGATTTCACTATACTTTTAGCCACGGCTGTCTGTGGCTAAAAAGTATACCGGATTTCAGTATACTTTTTAGCCACGGCGGTCTGTGGCTAAAAAGTATACCAGATTTCAGTATACTTTTTAGCCACGGCGGTCTGTGGCTAAAAAGTATACCAGATTTCAGTATACTTTTTAGCCACGGCGGTTTGTGGCTAAAAAGTATACCAGATTTTAGTATACTTTTTAGCCACGGCGGTCTGTGACTAAAAGTATACCAGATTTCAGTATACTTTTTAGCCACGGCGGTCTGTGGCTAAAAAGTATACCAGATTACAGTATACTTCTTAGCCACGGCGGTCTGTGGCTAAAAAGTATACCGGATTTCAGTATACTTTTTAGCCACGGCGGTCTGTGGCTAAAAAGTACACCAGATTTTAGTATCCTTTTTAGCCACGGCGGTCTGTGGCTAAAAAGTATACCAGATTTCAGTATACTTTTTAGCCACGGCGGTCTGTGGCTAAAAAGTATACCAGATTTCAGTATACTTTTTAGCCACGGCGGTCTGTGGCTAAAAAGTATACCGGATTTCAGTATACTCTTTAGCCACGGCGGTCTGTGGCTAAAAAGTCTTCCAGATTTCAGTATACTTTTTTGCCACGGCGGTCTGTGGCCAAAAAGTATTCCAGATTTCAGTATACTTTTTAGCCACGGCGGTCTGTGGCCAAAAAGTATTCCAGATTTCAGTATACTTTTTAGCCACGGCGGTCTGTGGCTAAAAAGTATACCGGATTTCAGTATACTTTTTAGCCACGGCGGTCTGTGGCTAAAAAGTATACCAGATTTCAGTATACCTTTTTGCCACGGCGGTCTGTGGCCAAAAAGTATTCCAGATTTCAGTATACTTTTTAGCCACGGCGGTCTGTGGCCAAAAAGTATTCCTGATTTCAGTATACTTTTTAGCCACGGCGGTCTGTGCCTAAAAAGTATACCAGATTTCAGTATACTTTTTAGCCACGGCGGTCTGTGGCTAAAAAGTATACCGGATTTCAGTATAGTTTTTAGCCACGGCGGTCTGTGGCTAAAAAGTATACCAGATTTCAGTATACTTTTTAGCCACGATTGTCTGTGGCTAAAAAGTGTACCAGATTTCAGTATACTTTTTAGCCACGGCGGTCTATGGCCAAAAAGTATACCAGATTTCAGTATACTTTTTAGCCACGGCGGTCTGTGGCTAAAAAGTATACCAGATTTCAGTATACTTTTTAGCCACGGCGGTCTGTGGCTAAAAAGTATACCAGATTTCAGTATAGTTTTAGCCACGGCATTCTGTGGCTAATAACTATATCAGATTTCAGTATACTTTTTAGCGTAGGCGGTCTGTGGCTAAAAAGTATACCAGATTTCAGTATACTTTTTAGGCACGGCGGTCAGTGGCTAAAAACTATGCCAGATTTCGGTATACTTTTTGGCCACGGCGGTCTGTGGCTAAAAAGTATACCAGATTTCAGTATACTTTTTAGCCACGGCGGTCTGTGGCTAAAAAGTATACCGGATTTCAGTATACTTTTTAGGCACGGCGGTCTGTTGCTAAAAAGTATACCAGATTTCAGTATACTTTTTAGCCACGGCGGTCTGTGGCTAAAAGTATACCAGATTTCAGTATACTTTTTAGCCACGGTTGTCTGTGGCTAAGGATAACGGTGACATGGCACCTAACCTGCGAACGGGCATATTCCTGGGCGACTGGGCACGAGATTGAGATTGATCCAAAACAAAACAAGTGTGATTTCCATCCGAATTTTACACATAAAGCTGTGTAAATATTACAAAGAAGAATAAAGACTTACATGTAAATTTTTCGAATTTAGACCACGGTTGGTTTGCGTATTGATTTTGTTCGAGGTTTATAATTATTTTCTATGTTAATTTTGTGATTATTACGTGCTATCACTGCGATGAATCACATGATTGTGCTGTGTATTTTCTAAATTTTATATTTAATGATTTTAATGTATTATAGCATGGAGAAGAATGAAGAGGAATTACTAGTTGTCCCTAACGACACCACGTAAGTACTTAATCGTATATGTTGAAAACTTGATAATAAATTCGATACAATGTCAATGTACGTAGCAAATGTTCAACAGGAAGTCATATATAAAACGAAGTGACTATACAGGCGGCAGCCGACTATTTAGTAAACTGCCGGCTATATAGTAACTATAGTTAAAGTTGAATTTTTATAAGTTAAACTGATTCCAACCCCAAACCCTTCTCTAAACCGCGGCCTAACCCCTAACCTTTTGAGAGTTACGGGCCACATCCATATTCATGTAGTCACAAATAACGTTGAATCGATGTTATTACTTCACCCACCCACCCACCCACTCCAGATAACGTCGAATGATATTCAGCCATATTTTGACTTTGGTATTTATAATACAAAAGCTGTACTGTGATAGGTACTTTGGACATTAATTGTCAAATTGTCACTCATTAAGTCAACAAGTTCACATAAAAACCCACCCACTCATAACATCGATTCAACGTTATTTGTGGCAACATGAATATGGACGTGACTTCACCCCCTGGAAAAAAAGTTTAAAAAATTTTAAGAACAAACAAAACAAAACACAACCCGACCCGGACTGTGTTTCACTTTCCACACGCAGTGCCTTTACCGTATACGCTAATGGCAAGCTCAGTAAAAGCTAGTGCAAAAAGGCTTTACCAGCTCCATGATGAAGGGACTTTTGCTCAACACATAGAGTGTGTTGTGTAGCCATTGTATTCTGTACATGTTTTAATACTGGGATACTTGATGCTGATGATTTTTTCTGGGACACCTGACGTTGTTCCTACTAACAGGGTGTTAGCTACAGTCAAAAATTCCGCTTTAAACGCCGTTTTCCCAATTACCTTGAGGTCGCAATTTCCCAATTTGGGTCAGCCAAAAAATAGTTATAGAAATTCAATGTTGTTAATACGCCATTAAAAACATGTTTATAATTATACTGTACATTTGCTCAAAATTACTCCCAAAATGTGGGAAATGCCATTTCAAAGACACAAAAATTTTAAAAATCAAGAGGGCAACCGCATGCCCCCAGACCCACAAAGAAATGCCCGGTTTCAGGCTAAAATAAATTTCCCAATTTCAGGTAAACACAGATTTTTTTACTTCTGGCTAACACCCTGACTAATCTGAAAACAATTTCTATATATATACTGTACACTCTCGTTAAACAGTTATAAAAGATAACGTAGAAAGCCCTCAAATGATTCTGTCACTTGAATATCAAGAACAATTAGGTTTGTAAACCTTGGTGCCTGTCATGAAAGGCCGAAAGCGAGGCTTGGTAGTGAACTTATGGTTAATTACTATTTCTCAGGGATTGTGAGGACCAAGACTTGAAAGAAAAGAAGCCTAACACGGGTTGGAGCCAGACAAATTTTCTTTGGAGAGGCTTAAATTTTGCCATGGCTTGCTTTTTTGCAATGGCTGCTTATGTACAAGTACGTGGGCTCATTAAGTTTGTATAATTATAGAACTAGGTTATATTACAGCCAATTAAATCTTTGTTTCCTGTTTAATTGTGTAGCTCAACGATCCTGATCCTCTTGTGTGGATGGTATGACTTATATGTTACAATTCTAGTTTGTTCGGTTTCCTTAATGACTCCTCCTGAATGTTTCCTGACTCTCACAGCAACGCTTTTCATGTGGAGTTTTACACATTCCACTGAGGAGGGTCAAGCCAGCAATATGGTGGGCATGTGTTTATTTCTGGGCGGTGGTGAGACATAATTTAAAATACATTTTTTTTGCTGCCCACAAAATAAAGCTTGCAACACAGGCTAGCACAACATGAAGTTACAGATTCATGTCCCATGTTGGAATTTTTCAAGACGATTGTTAACTTATATCTTTTTAGTTTGTTTATTCAGTTCCGGCCTGTTTGTGCATAGCAACAGCATTTTCTCCCGAGGTTCAAGGTTTGTGGAAACATTCACTTCTCATTGCATAAACATACATTGTGACAACCTGATACTCAGGGTTTTTACTTCCGGGTTTCGGGGAGGTGGGGTAGCAGAAGTGAAAACCCTGAGTATCAGGTTGACATTGTGATAGCCTACATTACCAGACAACCTACTGTACCTGATAGGCAGACTCGTCAGGGGGAGAGTGCTGCCATTCAATGGGTTAATTAATGATGTTGTCTTTATGAATATTTTCTTATTTTGCAGATCATACTGTGTGGCAATCTTTGGCAACCGCTGACGTTGTCGGCAGTTTGGCTGGAGCAATATACCTTGCTACAGCTATTAGACCCCAAATGCAAAAAGATGCCATCAATAACCCGCTGGTTTTGGAAGAAGGAAGGTTTGTCTTGGTCACAATAAATAGTTATCATAATGGGGCTAGTATTCCAAAGGTCGTAGGTTCGATTCCCACTGTGGCCGGGCATATTTTTCAAGCCTGCCCGGTGTGGATACACACTCAGAGTAACATCACAAGCATTATAATGGTAGTTACATGTAAATTAGTATGACTACATTCAGTTCACTGGATGGGCAAATTTAATAGGATTTTGGACATTTCATTTGATAGAACTAATTGTAGTCAACTTCTTGTCATAAAATGTGCAAATTCTTTCGTTCATAGAGAAATGTCAGGACTGATCATAGTAATGTTCTGGATAAGCCTGTGTAAATTTGTTACATGGTACAGTCAAAGGTGAGAGTGAATGGCATAGTTCTGACTAATGTAACATCACTTATATCTATAACCTTTTAAAACATTTTATTCTGGATGCAAACATTATATTTCAGAAAAGGCAATGTTCCTATTTTATTTTGGATTTCAATTCTGGTGCTGTGCTTCGTACCATTCACACTGTGGGCTTACTGCTACAGAAACCTCGATAGGAAGATTTTGCCTCAACATTGCAAGGACATGCTCTGAACAACGACGGGATAACATGTACTCCATATCTGTCAGGCGATGGAGACTGGTCAGGAAACTAGTTGTATAACTTAATTAGATTACTACACAATATCATGTAGTGTGGCATCTTGTCAAAGCTTTATTTCATGGCCAGTCAGATGGCTTTCAGTTGATTACATTGCAATGTATCATCTAGTCTAGACTTTTTAGAAACAGCAATTAGTGCAGACTATCGCCCGTATTCTAAAAGCTCACTCACACTCAATGAGTGGAGGTTCAATCTGAGCTTCTCTTAGGTGCCAGTGCAGTTTTTGAATAGCTAAGGGTTAGTATTGTACCTTAATATGTGACTACTCACCCTCCAGCTATTCAAAAACAGCACTGTGACTGGCACTCAAGAGAAGCTCAGATTGAACTTGTGAGTGAGCTTTTAGAATACAGGCGTATATGTAGGAACCAAACATACAGTAGTATTTTATTAAAGTGTGTAAAACATGCATTTCCTCAATTTGTAAAATAATTGTTATTGCATGTGATGCAGTCAAAAAAGAATTTAAATTAACCAATGCTTTTAGAAGGAACGTTCTCAAAATCTTGATGAATTGCTTGAAGTTGGGAAATGTGAACCAATCAAATTTTTTTCAGAACACTTCTATTGACACGACTGTAGTATGAATTGTATAATAGGCATGTATAGATAGTTATTTAGTTTAATAAAGCATTAGTAATGCAACTCACACATATTGAAAGTTTTATTTTATTTTGGTTGTACACACATCTATTATTTTTTACATTTTTATTCAACCAATGTTACTGGCACTACTGTACTAATGATAAACAAAAAGTACTGTAACTATAATACTTCGATTGTCCCGATACCAACTGTGAATGTCTACACTTCCATTTTAAGCAGTGCTATTGCCAGTACTGATAAGCTTTATATCCCATGTAAATACAGACTGCGAACGAGCCAACGTTATGAAGAATTTTTCTATATTTGTCATTCTTATAAACTAACACGATAGGCGATGGTGAAGTCAAGCGTTCCAGAGGCACCTTTACCAAATTATGACTATCGTATTCAACCTGGTATTTGCAACTTGGATCAAATTGCCACGATATATCGTACAGCGCCGTTAACAACAAACTTGTGCCGCCCAAAGTCATGCTGACGATCGTTCTATTATTTGGCGGGAGGAATAGCGGTGAAGCCAAACACCCGAGACTACACAATACTGACGATTTATGAATAAAATTTCCAACACGGATCCATTTTGAAATTTGGTCGCCCAGTACCTTTGGCTCAATCACGATCATCAGATACTGTCGGTTCAATGCGAATTCAAGTTCTGTGTCGTAAAGCTCTTGCGTCAAATTTTCATCAAGGTCAGGGTCATCTGCCTCATGGATAACGTGGCATTCCTCGTCAGGGCTTTCCATTAATGGGCTATAAAATACATATAATTATGTCAGTTAATAAACAACTATAGGCACATTTGTTGCCTTAACCTAACTGGCTTTGTTTATTTGGGGGGGGGGAGGATTGTCAGTTTAGAAATGAAAACATGAGAGACATTCACCCCCCTGAATGTCCACCATTTTCAATATTTTCAGGGGGGGTGAATGCCTCATATGCACTGGCTAGGAACATAGTGACAGCATTGCGATGGTTACGCCAAAATCACAGCCAAAACCAAGACGTCAGACTTCAGTATGGTCTCTATTCTGCGTCGCTGAGGTCAGTGAAATTATGCGTTTATCAAATTTCACTGAAAACACGAACATTTTCAGACCTCCTGTATTGGTATTTAATCAAAGACCCACAGCCAAGCTACTTCTAGTTAACTACTGCACATTTATCCACACTATACCTTATTTCTTCCAATTCTGGTTCTTGTCCACTGGCAGTTGAGTCGTCAAACTCTCCATTGGCAGCCATATTGAGAAGTTGCTTGCCAAACAGTCGTCGTCGACTTTTTGTGCGGCAGCCAGACGCGTGCGAATCGGATTCACAATATAAAAATGACGTAATTTGTTTTGGTCCAAGAAACGTGAAGAGAAACGAACATGGCTTCATTTTTCGCTTCTAACCCATTTTCGTCCCCTGTTGGACAGAGAATTGGTGAGTTTAAAACATCTCTGAGCCGCTTAAGCATTTATTTAGTACTTAAACTATGTAACTGTCAAATTTCGTGCAAAACCCGTGCGTTTTAGCTGGTTAATTCGAATTTAAATATTCCCCCCTCTTTATAGCAAGTATGATTGTCAACTTATGAAGTATCGCTATTATGTAGTTTACGTTCGTGTTGTTTTTGTTTTATACATTGTGTTGTTGTTTAGAGCGAGCAACGGACGAGAAATTGGCGTCGGAAGATTGGGCATTAAATATCGAAATCTGTGATATAATAAATGAAACTGACGAAGGGTAGGCCATAGTTGTGTGTGATGTTATGCAATTAATTATTAAGTGAATAAATGTTCATTAAATATTAATGATCAGCAGTGTTTCTGACCGATTACAGATGGGTGCACCTGGTTGAAATATGTTGGGTATTAGAAAGAAATTCATGTTCTTATATTTTATTCCAAGGAACTGGGGTGCGGTTGGGTGATACACCCTTTTAGTCTTCCCCAGCCCCTCCTTGCCACCCTGGGGGGGGGGGGGGCACAATGAATTTCTAAGGTCTCTAATTTCTATGTTACAATGAACCATTATGTTATGTATGAGGTCACTTGTTAACCATGTTAATGAAAAATGTAACATTCCAGGCCCAAAGATGCAATTAAAGCCATTAAAAAAAGACTTGTATCGCCGAAAGACTTCAAAGTCGTCATGTTCACTTTAACTGTGAGTATAATACTTGCTATAGTAGTGCCAATGTAATAAAACTACTAGTTTATTAATTCCTGTAGTTCTACAAAAATATGTAATTTTATAATATAAATAGTAAATTAAAGGTGATGTAAAGTCCGTAATGTAAACAAACGCTTTGTTTACATTTTGAACTCAGTGCTACAGTTGTAAAATATTATTAGATATATATTATACTGAATTTTTAACACTCTTCTGGTTCGATATGATTGTAAATGAATACAGACTAGAGATTCAATTCAAGAAAGTTTGAAGGGTGCGAAATAATAACATTCAAATGGTCGGGTCCCGACTATTGGAATGTAGGCTGGCGCAGAATGTATGCGCATGGTCTTTAAATGTACTAGTATTTAAATTAAACAAGCTTTTGGTAGGATGCAACTACCTGAAAAATATAAGGAGAATTTTGACGAAGATGAAACTCCAGACGAAGGTATTTTTCAGGTACAGTAGTTGTATCCCTACCAACAGAAGCTTGTTTATATTATTGGCACTGGCACAGACAGTACTAGTAATTAACCTATTGAGTGCCATCTCAGTCCATTTGACGCGTATAATCGTCTGGTGTTAGACTTGTCTTAATTGATTAAATATTGATGTCAAAATATTTCAATTCCCCAGGTGCTTGAAACTTGTGTCAAGAACTGCAACAAAAGATTCCATGTTTGTGTTTGCACTAAAGACTTTCTCGCCGAGTTAACCAAACTAATACAACCAAAAGTAAGTTTCTACCAAAAAGTAGCTCCTCTGCAGGCAACTCTGTGGTAAACAGCATAGTTGCACCATTGTCAAATATTGTGTGGTCCTGTCATTTGTTTTACAAAGTTGAACATTAGTTGTCCTAATGCAATCTATTTTATAATCTACCTCTGTTATTTCAATAGTATAATGCTCCCGTTATGATCCAGGATAAAATCCTGGCTCTCATTCAAACCTGGGCTGACGCGTTTAGTGGCAAACCGGAACTTGATGCAGTTGTTCAGGTCTACAAAGCATTAAAGATGCAAGGTACTTTATTATTAACCCATTAAGGTGCGGATTGACGAGTAAAATTGTCTGGTGCGAGAAAAGTAAAAAAAATAAGTAGGGTGCATTGCGGCTCAATGGGTTAACTAAAGTTAGAGTTTTATGTGCATAGATTTATGTATAGATTATCATGATTATAGTATTTATTGTAATACCATATATCTTAAATTTTGCATGCCAGTGCCTCAACACCCAACCCCTAAAAACCACTTGCTCGGAATTATATGTACTCCCATTGTGAAGAAAAAATGATTTGCAAATAGTTGACTGAAAAGCCAGTTACTACATTTATTGCATATACTGCTTTTTACACGTCCTTTTAGTACAAAAATGAAACAGAAAATAAAATACAGAGCAAAATTTGACCATAATTTGTCGAATTTGTAAATAAAGTTTGCACAATGTCTGGGCCAAACCAACATGGTTTTTCCTTGTTGCAAACTGTCAACTTGAACCCTGTAAACTGTGTGTACTGTTGTAGATTGCCATAATGATTCTGTTTGTTTTTTGACTTTCAGGCATTCAATTCCCAGCACAAGACCTTGACTCATTTTCACCTATCTTCACTCCAGAAAGAGTGAGTACAGCAACATACAAACCAAGGGCAGATTTTCATTTATTTGGAAGGAGGGGTAGAAAAATTTTTGGTGGGGTGCAAGAGACACCACTGAGAAAGCTTTGGCAGGGGTTAGGCATTTGGGTTAAAGCCTTTCACACAAAATAGGAGGGATGAAGCGAAATTTTGGTGAGGTTGAACACTGTATTAGGGGGTTAGAGAGATTCTATGAGGGACTTTAACCCCCCAGTAAATCTGCCCATGATACAAACAAATACACTGGCTTTAACCGTGGGTAACCAGAGCTGCAAATAAATATTTGACTTGACAGGACATTTGTCCAATCACTTTTAATTTTGGTCAGACGTAACTTGCGATTTGTTGGTGTGTGATTATTGTTGAAATCACAGCCACTTTTCACACCGATGAATTACTGGTTTCTAAAGCAGTAGGGAAGTGCAATGTCCCTTTTCACATTGTACACTTTGTGAATGTTGTAGGCATGTGGGTTAGTGTCCCTGTTCCCCCAACTTAGGTAAGCTGGACGGGATATTTGGGAACTGTGAAAACCTTACGATTTGTTGGTGTGTGATTATTGTTGAAATTACAGCCACTTTTCACACCGATGAATTACTGGTTTCTAAAGCAGTAGGGAAGTGCAATGTCCCTTTTCACATTGTACACTTTATGAGTGTTGTAGACATGTGGGTGAGTGTCCCTATTCCCCCAATTACTTAGGTAGGTTGGAGGGGATGTTTGGCAACCGTGAAAATCTTATGATTTGTTTGTGTGTATAATTATTGTTGAAATTACTGCCACTTTTGACACATATGAATTACTGGTTTCTAAAGCACTAGGGAAGTGCAATGTCCCTTTTCACGTTGTACACTTTGTGAATGTTGTAAGCATGTGGTTGAGTGTCCCTGTTCCCCCAACTTAGGTAGGCTGGAGAGGATATTTGGCAACCGTGAAAATCTTATGATTTGTTTGTGTGTACTTATTGTTCAAATTACTGCCACTTTTCACACCGATGAATTACTGTTTTCTAAAGCAGTAGGGAAGTGCAATGTCCCTTTTCACATTGTACGTACACTTTGCAAATGTTGTAGGCATGTGGGTGAGTGTCCCTGTTCCCTCAACTTAGGTAGGTTGGAGGGGACGTTTGGCAACTGTGAAAATCTTACAATTTGTTTGTGTGTAATTATTGTTCAAATTACTGCCACTTTTGACACATATGAATTACTGGTTTCTAAAGCACCAGGGAAGTGCAATGTCCCTTTTCACATTGTACACTTTGTGAATGTTGTAGGCATGTGGGTCATTCGTGACAAAATGAAGATTCTAACTCACCATGCATGAATTTTGATTTTTCATTCAACACAAAAATATTTTTCTTGTAGTCTGTTCCAGAGCAAACAAGCCACCATCCCGAACCACGACATCAGGTACTGGTACCTGGGCTAAACTTAGTTTATTAAATGACAGTGGACTTGATATACTTCAATATTTATTGAAATTGATGTTGAAATTCCAATATTGCCCAATAAATGCTGATTTTTTTCTGTGGAGTGAATCAGTGCCATCATCCTAGGTGATATCAAAAGTGCTATTATTAAGTCATGAAATTTTACTAAACTTGCTAGAATTTAACGTACATTCTTTCTATTTTTAATAATATTATTTAATTAAGGCAACTGCTGTAATGCCCGCTGTTTCAGTCAGCCAACCACGACAAGCCATCCATCAACCACAACCAGTCGTCCATCATCCACAACAAGGCATCGATCAACCACCGGTTGTACGTCAAGCAACTGGAACAAGAACGTTAACTCCAGAGAAGTTTGCAAAGCTACGATCTCAACTTGATGTGGTGCAAGGGAATGTACAGGTTATGTCTGAGATGCTGATTGCTGTCACGCCGGGCGAAGAAACTCCAGAGGATCGAGAACTGCTTAAGGTAATGTTTTAAACACTTCAAATTTAATCTAGACTTGGTTGTTACCAGATGGGTGTCAGATGTTGGAGTCCGTGGTGACCAAGTTACCTGCGAGTGACTGGAGCTAACTGCCAACCTGTCAATTTTTCCCAATATCTTTATCCGACCAGATTTAATAGGTGTCTCTTTTCTGCCACATTCTCGTTTCTATTTTCATTTTTCAAAGTCGGTGGTTTGACTATTTTCCTGTTCTATGGCCAAATTTTATTTTATCAAATCTCAAGTCGTCAAGCGCCTCTGAGTTCTGTTTCCTATTGGAGTATTCCCAGAATAGAGAATTTCCATTCTAGACTAATTTTAAAACTAGGCAAGGTGATGCAAATAAATCATCAAGGCTAGAAAGAGCATACTAAAATGAGTAAAACTGCAAAGTTTGGTTGCGTAATGTTGTAAAATGCGGAAAATATAGCTTTGCAAAGTTTGCAAATTTTGTATACTTTCGTATTGCGTGCGGAAATTGCTACCATTTTCGGCCCAAATGTGGTAGCAATTTCCGCACGCAATACAAAAGTATACAAAATTCGCGAACTTTGCAAGGCTATATTTTCCGCATTTTACAACATTTCGCAACCAAACATTGCAATTTAACTCATTTTATTATGCTCTTTCAGGAATATACTTTTTTTGACAAGATAAAAAATAGTTTATATGATGGGAATTGTCTATTCTGTCTGTTTCTGAGAATAAGAAGATGAAGTTTAGGCAAACGTTTCGTGTTGTTTTGAAGGAACTAAACAGAACATGTCGTTCAATGC